ACATTAATGCTATCCGATCTACCTAGGCAGGCTCGACTCCTCTTTGTGCGCATCTTCAAAATTGTGCACATCCACGTTTGCGCGGTGCCGGGCCTTGTGCGTTTATTTCTGTTGCGGCGCCAACTTTGCATATCCAATTCCTCCGCCTCTAGTATTGCATTTTGTACTTCTCAATATAACGTGTTCCCAATAGAACGTAAAGCAAATAAACTGTATCCCGACTACACCTGTTACCAGCCGCCGCCTTGCACTTTGTACGCGCTTCATACTGCGCGATTCGCACAGCTCTATACCCGCAATTCGACGCGCAATTCAACGTACAATTAGCTGCGGAATTCAACGCGCGCTTTGCCGCATAATTCCATGCGCGCTTCAGAACGCGCTTCCGCGACGAAATGAATGCCGTACGCGCTTCATACCGCACCGTTCTTCGCTCTTACGCTTTGACGATTCTCGCAATTTCCCTTGTCACTGTCGTTTCTTTCGCCCTCTCCGCCGTTCACGACCTGCTATTCTTAACGTCTCCATTACTATACGTGTCCACCTCTGTCGACCTTCATATCGGATCAGTCACCTCCAAAACGGATTCGGCTTAGCTCGCTTGCGAACGGCTTCCGTGGTGGAAGAAGACGGGGTGGAATATCCGGAGGTGAGGGTGCAGGAGTAGCTACGTAACACTGCGCAGCATGCAGCTGCACGTGATGCTACACAGCATGCAGCTGCACGTGCAGCCACATGCTGTGCAATGCTACGCAGCTGCTCCTGCACCCTCACCTCCGGATCTTCCACCACGTAATCTTCCACCACGGAAGCCGTCCGCAAGCGAGCCAAGCCGAATCCGTTTTGGAGCAGATGACTGATCTGACACGTATACTACTCGAGCCGGAAGCACGCTATACCTGCCCATCCCAGGGGTAGTTGAGAGTGAAGCTGCAACCCGCCACTGTAGCCATCCCAGGGCTGGTTGCCAGTGTACGTACGCCACTGTACGGCGTTAAATGACAGCGTCCGGGGAACACCCCGGACGACACGCTCGCTCCCTACGGGAAGGAATGGGGACCCGCTCACCAATGTGTGGAGCCCCCTGCGGGTTCGATTCCCGCGCGAGCGCTTCACACTGCCCGACAGGCTAAATTTGCGTGCTAGGCTCTGCCGGCTTAATTTTCCTACGAAATGCGTGTGTGACATACACGCCGTACGCATCGTATGCGCTATGCCGTACGCGCTATGCTGTAACGTAACGTACGCCCTTAACCGCCGTGCAACGCACGCAGCGACGGAGCTACGGCCCTCTCGCGCGAACAGCGCGCTCTAGTCCACCAAGTCGTCGGTTCAACCCCTAGCGCGCCGCTTTTTTTCTTTTTGCGCGCCGCTTTTTTTCTTTTTTTCTTCGGCTGCTTCATATGCTTCATATGCTTCATATGCTTCATGTGCACATATGCATCTTATGCGATATGCGATATGCAGCGATAGCAGATCGCAAACTTCGACGTTCCAACTTAAACACACGCACTTCACGATACGTGCACACGCACCTATGCATTATATGCTTCATATGCTTCATATGCACATATGCATATTATGCGATATGCGATGTGCAGCGATAGCAGATCGCAAACTTCAACGTGCAGACTTCAACACACGCACTTCACGATACGTGCACACGCACATATGCATGATATGCTTCATATGCTTCATCTGCTTCATATGCACGTATGCATCTTATGCGATATGCGATATGCAGCGATAGCAGATCGC